GTTGTTATTAAAGTATAAAGGCCAAGGTTAATGTGAGATTGCATCCAGCCTAACAGGACATATTTGGTAAAAGTCCTGACTCTTGTCAAGGCTCATGGAACTACTGTCAGTGTAGTTGTTATGGTAACATGAGGGCACCTGCTGACATCTGAGTTGTCATCACCTGTAGGTTTACCTACATTTAAGTACATCAACACACACTATGATGACTGACACCTGTCAGGTGAGATACCTTCACAATTCAAGCACTGACTTTTTCATGATTGTTCATGCTATATTGTTTGGCACATATGCTGCTTAGATGATTAACTATGGCTGTCAGAGATGACATACTTGCTTAATGACACACTGACTTTCAACACTGACTATTTAGTATGATACACTAGTCATTCAATATTTGCACAATAGGATACACTGGTTATTCAATATTTGCAGAATATCATTCACTGGTTATTCAATATATCTGTATCTATATTTCTTGTACCTACTGTGTAAATATTTGTAGCTTATAGAATATTGCCACTGTTTCTTCATGGAATGCTATGCAATAAATATCTTATCTTATCTTATCTTATTTGCACAATAGGATACACTGGTTATTCAATATTTGCACAATAGGATACACTAGTCATTCAATATTTGCACAATAGGATACACTGGTTATTCAATATTTACACAATATGATGCACTGGTTATTCAATATTTGCGGAATATCATTAACTGGTTATTCAATATTTGCATAATATCATACATTGGTTATTCAATATTTGCAGAATATGATACACTAATTATTAGATATTTGCAGAATATGATACACTAATTATTCAATATTTGCAGAATATGATACTCTGGTGTGTGCTGCTGGATAGAACCAAATATTGAAAAAAGCTCTACTGATACAAGACCAAATTGTGAACAGATCATTTCTAAAATATTACAATAAACAAATAAACATACATCAGATCAAGAATACCTTTGTCATTAATCAAATTCTTTCATTTCTAGATACAAGGTACGTAAAAACCATTAATAATTTCACTGAAACATGAAATATATCTGAAATACATCCTACCTTTTTGGATTAATCATGCCTTGAAACATTCACCCCCTTTGTTCAAGCACCTGCTGTTTTCTGTGATAGCAACATGTTGCACCGTTCCTTGTAACAAGAAACTCTGGTGACACAGTGAACACACGACCTAACAGACAATAAACTGCCTGAAAATATCAGGTTATAACTGTTGCTGGAAAAATTAAATATGGGCTGCAACAAAGTCGCACAAATCCATAGTTCTACCTGAAAATCTGTCAATCAATACTATCCCTTTGTAGTGTGGAAGAATCAGGCGATAGTTCAGGCTCACAGAGGCCTGACAAAGGCCAATCAAAAAAGCATCCAGTGATACCATATTACTCAACCGCTTTCATTGAGAGGGTCGTGGATCAATAAACAGCAACTCTTGTGACCTGTCGGCCAGGATGTCAGTGTAGGCTTCAGAATAATTCATGCAGTTATGTCATATCATTCCTGTGCCTTGGAACAGCAAGGAAGTCACATCACTTCTGTGACTCGGAACAGCAAGGATGTCATATCACTCCTGTGCCTTGAACAGCAAGGATGTCATATCACTTCTGTGCCTTGAACAGCAAAGATGTCATATCACTCCTGTGCCTTGAACAGAAAGGATGTCATATCACTCCTGTGCCTTGAACAGAAAGGATGTCACATCACTCCTATGCCTTGAACAGCAAGGATGTCATATCACACCTGCACCTTGGAACAGCAGGGATGTCATATCACTCCTGTGCCAAATGGAACAGCAGGGATGCCATATCACTCCTGTGCCTTGAACAGCAAGGATGTCATATCACTTCTGTGCCTTGAACAGCAAGGATGTCATATCACTCCTGTGCCTTGAACAGCACGGATGCCATATCACTTCTGTGCCTTGAACAGCAAGGATGTCATATCACTCCTGCCCCAAGGAACAGCAAGGATGTCATATCACTCCTGCCCCAAGGAACAGCAAGGATGTCATATCACTCCTGTGCCTTGGACAGCAAGGATGTCATATCACACCTGCACCTTGAACAGCAAGGATGTCATATCACTCCTGTGCCTTGAACAGCAAGGATGTCATATCACTCCTGCCCCAAGGAACAGCAGGGATGTCACATCACTCCTGCCCCAAGGAACAGCAAGGATGTCATATCACTCCTATGCCATGGAACAGTAATGATATCATTTCATTCACTATACAAGCCTGATATATTAACTACATGTATTATAAAAATGTCTGTCACGTGTTTAAACAGTTCAGCAAAAGTACACTTCACATTCAGGAAGAAGATACACATGACAGAGGTCCAGATGAAAGCTGAAGTGGTGAAATGGGAAATGTCCCTTAGGCTTTCAAACTACCATTGCAAAAAAACACTGCCATGCTTCACAGTCTGATTACATTAAATGCACACTCACACATTAGCAGGTTCTAGAGAAGTTCCATCCTCTACAAAATAAATACTACAACTGACCCCAATTACACAGAAGCCAAGTAAAGATCAACTCTGACAGATGACAGGGATGTAGAAAACCCACATCTGCAGAACTCTATCACAGCTTTTGTAATCAATGGGGTCATTGTGAGACCTAAAAAAGTGTGTTGTGGTTCTGATTACCCAACCGACCCTTGAATTCTGGCGCTGACCCTATTTTTTTAAGTGGTATGAATAAAATATGCGTTCAGATACCATTGTTTTTCACGGCACCGATGGACATCGGTCGTTCTGATAAAGTCGACATGATGGCCGCAAGCTGGATTAAATAAATAATTACACATTGATAAATGTGTTATTAGTTTGTACTTTACTTCTAAAAGAAATGAAAAAAATGAAGAAAAAAAATCTGACCTACCTACCCTAAATTTTAAAGAGCTGTAATCGGAACCACAACATTGTTTTATTTGGCCTGATTATTCTACTGAGGCTGTGCTAAATCTTTAATTTTAACAGAAGTGTTACGAGGATCCTGGACTTCATAGCAGTGTAGATCTGCCTCATATACAGCAACAAATATACTGACAGAAACAAATAAAGGAACACAGGAAAATTCAAGTGTTCCTTTAATAATTTCCAGTTTTCATCATCAGCTTTGTATATTGCTGTGGCAGAAAATCTGAGAAGAAATAAAGGAACACTGCCATGAAGTAGTGTTCCCTTATTTGTTTCCCTCAGTATATATATATACCAAGGCATTACTCATGAGTCTTCAGATTTATAGACTAAGTAGTTTACAAAAATATATAAAATATACATATTTCAGAGAGTGGTTGATATTCTTTATATTGCCCACAGCCAGGCCTAGGTGATAGTGTCTTGGAAGGAGGGAAAACCTGAGGTTGATAGCATGAGCATAATTCAGTTGAATCAAAATGACATGTCATCCATCATCATTAGGAAACTCTTACGACAAATCTGGGGAATTTTGGACCTATTCTGATCTTGAAGAATAACTGGGAATTAAAGACAGACTAAAAAATGCCCTATGTCCATTTGAACACTAGACCAACAGCTCCCACAATTAACAGAATATGGAATAACAGATGTGATCAGTTCAGAAAATAGGGACATTAATTGGACATGTAGATTTAGGAGACATCAATATTCCCAATTGGAAGAAGGATCAGCATCTGCATCTCATATGGTAAAGGAGACTGTGAGTGAGTCTAGAAGCAGAGGACATTGACCCCAGCTGGCTTCAGCAGGGGCTTAACCTCCCTCTAACCCTCCTCCATCTCTGTATCCCACTCCTGGAAGGTGATATTGATTCATATTGTGCCGGGATATAACATTAGGTGGTACAGAGATGTGGCATCTAGTGTTTCACTATTTTGAAATGATTTCTGAAACTGGTACCGTGACAATAACCCCAACACATTGTATTAAAAAATTCCATTTTATCATATCTGTTTTATAACCTTATTTTCTGTGAGCATTTTTTAATATGTTACAGGAAAACAAATAACAGTGACCTCTGGGGGATATAAAATAACATCTAGCTGCACAGATGTGTATACAGAAATAGAGCAAGACACATCTCAATTCCTTTTTGGAACATTTAGATTTATCATCAATATCTGGCTCCCACAGTACATTGTGTTGGACATCTCTGATGAGATATCACTGTAATGAAGCAGTTTTACAGTGCTTTGACGACCACTGTGACATCACTGGTTTCTATGGCATCACAATCAAATGTCATCATCTCTCTGTAACTGTAGATTTATTTCATACTCGACACACTGGTTAGTTATCACAGTTTATATAATGATGATCTGGGATAAGGAACAGAATCCTCAAAGCCTTGAGATGTCCAACAAACAGCATATGAGAGCCATTTATTGGAATGTATTGATATTTTTGACGTAAAAAACACAAGGGGAGATCCTCTATGTAATTTGATACATTGACATTCATTCCCTATTGACTAAATAATCTTCAACATAATCTTCAAGTCTAATCAGGTGAGTAGTTCATTAATTTGAATTAAACATGCAAAGTGTTGAAATTCTTTGAGGGGCATTTCAGAAGTTGAGTTGATGAAGAATGATGACAATTTTTATGGATATACAACTTCTTTTATTCTGTGAAGGGCGACGTTTCGACATAGATTCTAATGTCACTTGCTTGACAACAACATTAGAATCTATGAATAAAAGAAGTTGTATATCCATAAAAGATTGTCATCATTCTTCAAAGTGTTAAAAGACAAAAAACATTTACTGATGCTTTAGTCGTGTACCTGAGATGCTGATGAGTATTTCATGCAGGTATTATCTCTGATGCTGCTACAGGTAGGCCACATCAAACGGCATCAGCTGCACTCACCACCTCTATGCTAATGAGTGCAACTAACTTACAGGAAACATCAAAATAATATTTTTTACGTTTAAATGAAGTTTTGAAACATTTAAAATTATTTATCTCGTATCTTCAAACAGTGAAGTGCTTTCTACACTAACAGTGAACATGATCAAAGCCCAGCATTTCATTTTCCTAATATCTTCCTCCAGTTCATTCTGACACTATGGCTGTGCTAATGGACTGACAGACTGACTGAGTTTGGTTTTACGCCGCTTTTAGCAATATTCCAGCAATATCACGGCGAGGGACACCAGAAATGGGCTTCACACATTGTGCCCATGTGGGGATTCGAACCCGGGACTTCGGCGGGACGAGCCAACGCTTTTACCATTAGGCTACCCCACCGTCCCCCTGTGCTAATGGACAAACTGGCTAACGCACAAACATATGGGCAGATATATTTTTTAAATTTACAGATTAACATGATAGGTACATTCCAACACTGTAGTTTCGAACTTTGAAGTGTTAACCTATTCATGGCTGCCTGAAGTAATAGCTAGGTCTCTGCGTAACTCCTATTAAATCATTATTTTTGTTGTTGAGTCGAACCTCGAACCTCCGAGAGCACTTGACATATATGTCCCTTTGACTTGAACACATTGGTGTTTGACTATTTCAACCTCAACAAGATATGCGAATGGATCATTCAGAAAAAGATATTGAAATGATTCCATTTATAACAAATGTTTTGGATTTTGATTGTTATTTGAGAATTTGGTGTCCATAAAGATTGTCAATTCGTCTGTTACATGCCACTGACCTTTGAAGTTGTAAGTTGGGTTTTACGCCGCTTTTAGCAATATTCCAGCAATATCACCGCAGGAGACACCAGAAATGGGCTGCACACATTGTACCCATGTGGGGAGTGAGTGAGTGAGTGAGTTTAGTTTTACGCCTCTTTTAGCAATATTCCAGCAATATCACGGCGGGGGACACCAGAAATGGGCTGCACACATTGTACCCATGTGGGGAGGGAGTGAGTGATTGAGTTTAGTTTTACACCGCTTTTAGCAATATTCCAGCAATATCACGGCGGGGGACACCAGAAATGGGCTGCACACATTGGACCCATGTGGGGAATCGAACCCAGGTCTTCGGCGTGACGAGCGAACGCTTTAACCACTAGGCTACCCCACCGCCCCTTCGGCGTGATGAGTGAACGCTTTAACTACTAGGCTACCCTACTGCCCCTTCGGCGTGACGAGCGAATGCTTTAACCACTAGGCTACCCCACCGCCTTCGGCGACGAGAAAAAACGCTTTAACCACTAGGCTACCCCACCACCCTTCGGGCGTGATTTAATTTAACGCTTTAACCACTAGGCTACCCCACCACCCCTTCGGCGCGGACGAGTTTAACGCTGTAACCACTAGGCTACCCCACCACCCCTTCGGTGGATCGGCTTAACGCTGTAACCACTAGGCTACCCCACCACCCCCTTCGGTGACGAGCTTTAACGCTGTAACCACTAGGCTACCCAACCACCCCTTCGGGCGACGATCGAGCGCTGTAACCACTAGGCTACCCCACCACCCCTTCGCGCGACGAGTTTAACGCTGTAACCACTAGGCTACCCACCACCACCCCTTCGTGATGACGAGTTTAACGCTGTAACCACTAGGCTACCCCACCACCCCTTCGGGCGGACGAGCTTAATGCTTTAACCACTAGGCTACCCCACCACCCCCTTCGGCGTGACGAAGCGCGCTGTAACCACTAGGCTACCCCACCACCCCTTCGGCGTGACGAGCGAACGCTGTAACCACTAGGCTACCCCACCACCCCTTCGGCGTGACGAGCGAATGCTGTAACCACTAGGCTACCCCACCACCCCTTCAAACTTGTGAGATTTGTCAAAGTGACCTGGTGTTTGAACAACTTACATCAAATTTTCTTGGACTAAATATCTGCATCTTTGGATTTGCTCTCGAAAGAGGTAAGCCTCACAACAGCCCTTGTACAAAGATTGCTTTGTGCACGTGGGCCTGGACCCCTGGTACATCATCTTGATACATGAATCTGTCTAAACTCAGAAATGATTCTTCAGTTACGAAGTGACTCACCAACTGTCCAATAAGGAAGAAAACAGCAACCTGCAACCTACACACACGCTTGTCATCAGCTGACTGACTCACTCACTCAACATATCCCTATTCATATCCGGGACAATCTGACACCCCCACTTCATCCTGAAACTGTTTAGTTTTTTGGTATGTTGGTTAACACCATGGCCACTCATTCAGCTGTAGCCTAATGCCGTGTTATCAACAGATGTCTCTTCGCACAGATTTTATAAAAAGATCTAAATTGAATTTTGGATTCAGTGGCAGAGGAGCTGTGGCATGAGTTGAAATCAATATCCGAGATCTGTTGCTTTTCACATCCATTGTTGGCAGGGAGTTTTCATGGGATTGAGTGAGTGGGTGAGTGGGTGAGTGGGTGAGTGAGTGAGTGAGTGAGTGAGTGAGTGAGTGAGTGAGTGAGTGAGTGAGTGAGTGAGTGAGTGAGTGAGTGGGTGAGTGGGTGAGTGGGTGAGTGAGTGAGTGAGTGAGTGAGCGAGCTTTCAACAATATTCCAGAAATATCACAGTGGAGAACACCAGAAAAGGGCTTCACACATTGTACCCATTTGGAGAATTGAGCCCGGGTCTTCAGTGTGATGAGCAGACGCTCTAAACACTAGACTACTCTAAACCAAGAAAACAAGAAGAAAAATGGCCACTTGTTTAGCTTTATCAATAGTCTATAACATTAACTGTGTACTAAAATTACAACTTACTGGAATAAGAACTCTCTATTTTGGGTACAAATATTCCTCTGCTGGGAAATACAAAATAATTTTTTCCACAACTTTTCTAGGAGATTTAATTAATTTGCAAATCCTTAATATAAGGTGAGTATTAATGTCAAGTCTACTGTGGACACTGGATCTACAGAAATATTTTTGATGTACGTTGCTGTCTAACGCTATCACTGGCACAAATTCTCCTTCTGGGTGATATTAAAACATAATCAGACATTAGCCAAAGAGAAGTGAGTTAGTGAGTTTGGTTTTACGCCGCTTTTAGCAATATTCCAGCAATATCACAGTGGAGAACACCAGAAATGGGCTTCACACATTGTACCCATGTTGGGAATCGAACGATTTAACCACCGCCCCTTAGCCAAAGAGGAAGATTATCTTCACCAGGGATGTATCAATGTTGGGTCTGAATGCGCAGCTATCCATTGTCTGATGGCAACACTTCCTGAGTACCAGGAAAGACAGCTGTCTTCAGAAATGACTGCAATTGTTATTTCCACTTCCAAAATTTTCATATCTCTACTGACTGTATTCTAAAGTATCCTGAAGATTTTTATTTAATTTTTGTAAGGCCAGACCAATTGTATTTCTTGTCTTACGGATTCTTGTCCTCAGAAAACATAAAGGCAGGAGGGGGAAGAAAGAAAAAAGAAATCACCAGCCAAAGTAATATTCCTTTTAAATACATTTTTGGCACAAACAAAAAACACATTAGGATTTTATTTGTTAGCGGGGAAGATTCATTTTCTTTTCTTTTCTTATTCTTGATAAAATACGACTGGCGGGTTCCGTAAAACAAGAAATAAATTGGTCTGGCCTAATAACTGTTAATGTTTTATCAAAAGTTGACAAAATTATGAAAATGTCCTAATCCACTTGTTCTTGGTAAAATCCAGGGTTTTATATAGCTCTTTGAAAGTGGGAGTCCTGGGGACTCAGGGCATATTGGGAGTCCATCAATTTGCATGAAACCAATGATCATAGATTCTTCTCATTTGATAATGGTTATGTTATAATTGTGTTACTTTCAATGATTGTAAACAGAATGTTTATATTTTAATATGGTATATCATTACAAACTAAGAAAGTTCTTTCCCGGAAAAAATTATATTGTGTCCACAAGGACGCAGAGGATTTTAGTATGGCGGTACTTCATCAAATTTCTGCATCCAAATACGCAGGAATCACACGTCCCGTAAAACCCCGGAAATCACTGATTACAGTACAGGTCAAATTTGATATAAATAGCTTTTGCCTCTCCAGTTGTATAAGTCGTACTCCCTGAACACATCAATCAATGAATCAATATTTGATGACCACACTGCAAAAAAGCAGAGGAAACTTTCAAAATATCCCGTTCCACTCCTACGAAAGTATATATCAGACGGGAAACAAACAGACACAATGGAAATAATCCAAATTGAACATATATTCTTGGAGATGTAGACAAGAACAAGGACAAGCTATTCAACTGAAGCACACAATAAACACTATTCCGGATGCCTCTGTTGTGTGGTCGGAGCTGACGCTGATGTGAAGAGGATGATGGACAACAAACAGAACTGAACATGTTAGCCTCCTAATTAAACAAGGTACAGGACTTGGAACACACACTGCTAATTAGTGAGAACAAACCTCCACAATGGCCAGAGTCCACATCCCTGCTGTAGACTATCGAGGTACTCTGAGCTTACTCAGATCTGTCTTGTGCACCAAGGTCAAGGCCACACAACTGTCAATAATCCACTGGTGATCACAGCTCACATTCAGAGTTCGCGCACGATAACAATAAGCCCCTGTCTGTCAGGTTACAAAAATTCCCTGGGAATGGTATAACAAGCATATCAAACGTCCAGTCAACCAACAGATGGTGACATCGTAATGCTGCAATCTAAATACCTGTGGCCATACGATACAAGCAGTTTTGGACTTGTTACGCAGAAACAGATTCACTGGAGCTTGAAGTTCATGAATTATTGGTCTGTGTACTCAACGGGTTCATCTCAAACACGCACTATCTGACCCAAAATGGCAACACGTGGTGACATTGACACATACAAAACCTGCAGCGTTTTAATTGATAGACAGCTTGACTGCATTAGCACAGAACAAAACCAAAACCAATTCAACAATTGGAACATGCTGGGCTGTCTCAAACTTGAAAAAAGCAAACAGTGTGTCAATATTGGCAGATATGAGTCATATCATCAATATGGCAGTATCCACATCAATGCTGTCCATTATGGATGTTAAAGCGTCTGCTGCTTAATGCTGGTAATCGGTTGGAATGTTGTGATTGATCATTGGCCATAATTAATTCATCTCAATAAACCAATCATTACCAATAATCAGTCAGCAGAACATCAATACCTGAACATATAGCTGACAGATCATAATCAATCATCCTTCCCACAGTCATCCATTAATGGTTGTATTCAATAATGACTGACTGACTGAGTTTAGTTTTACGCCACTTTTAGCAATATTCCAGCAATATCACGGCGGGGGACACCAGAAATGGGATTAACACATTGTGCCCATGTGGGGAATCGAACCCGGGTCTTCGGCGTGACGAGCCAACGCTTTAACCACTAGGCTACCCCACCGCCCCTATTCATTAATGAACTTGACCAGACAATAGAAAACAAATCATCCCCAGAATCAGACATTTAGTGAATGGATAACCAACAGCGATAAAGGTTCTTGAGAGGCATATAGAAGTTGGTATTCAAGTATAAGACAAAATATTCTGGATGTCAACTTCTTCTTTATTGTATACACAACGTTTCTGGGCTATTCCTTGTCCCTTCGTCAGGTGAATGCTAAAAAACAGATATACAGGATATATATACTAGTAATCCACTGTAACAGCATCAACCCTGCCTTTCGTATCTTATCCCAGCTTATGTATATCATTAGGCTATCAGCCACCCTTTTGTACACCTATTAGACTCGGACCGCCTCCGTGGTGTAGTGGTTAGAGCGTCCGCCTGGAGAGCGGAAGGTCGCGGGTTCGATCCCCGACCGCGTCATACCAAAAAGACATTAAGATATGGTACTTGTTGGTCCCAGCCTGGCGCTCGGCATTAATGGGTACAACAAGGACTGGTCAGCTCAGAGTCAGTATAATGTGTCTGAGTGGGGTATTCATGCTTCACTGCGGCATGGTATCTCAGTGGGCTAGCACTATAAAACCAGCTTAAGTCTGGGCTAGTACAAGCAGCCGCACATACACATACACATGCATGCACGTCGTCATATGAGCGAAATATTCTCAAGCACGACGTAAAACCCAATTTCACCTCACCTCACCTATTAGACTCATTGGCTTCTATCATTTACCCACTTAATCCACTGTAACAACACCACATCTGCTTTTGTATATTTCATTCTCTTTCATCTTATAATCCCCTATTTATTGTATACATGCTTAAAATCTCTCTGGCTTCATGTACATTACTAGTATATATATCCTGTTATCTGTTATTTAGCATTCACCTGACGAAGGTGCAAGGAATAGCCCAGGGCCCCGATCCTCAAAGCGATCGTAGCGCTACGACCATCGTAAGTCTATGTTAAAGTATGGGAGTTACGACTGTCGTAGCGCTATGATCGCTTTGAGGAACGGGGCCCAGAAACGTTGTGTATACAATAAAGAAGAAGCTGACATCCATAACATTTTGTCTTATAACAGTGATAAAGATATCCAAACTGGGTCAAACACCTGTAGAAAGTATTGCGTATGTCAGCTTCTACATAACCAGTCCTTATCAAGAACGTCCTATCTCAACTGGTTACACACATCAGGTACAACAAGTTCCCAGCCACTTACATGAGAGAGCTGTGAGGGAGTTGAAGCCGATCCACTGGCGTATTGTCTACACCTGAGTTGGTAAACTCCAGTTGAACTTGTTATATCCACACGTACCTTGGTATATAAACACAACATCCACATCGGTTCTGTAAAGATTTGTATCACCTTGTCGTGTAGCCCACACAGCTATGTCACCCTCAAGGTAAACTCGAGGTGAATAAATTACTCCAGACACAAAGAAATCTTCTACAAAGGAGGCTGAAATATGTGAAGTGTTTGTTGTATGTTAAACGCAGTCACTACTGCGTTGGGCGAGAGCTGTCATCACAAAGGCCAACCAGACACCAAACAGGCTCTCAATCCGAGCTGATTTCCTCTATCTTAGCTCAATACACAAAGACAGCCAAGCTAGGGAATTATCACGCGTATCTCACTCCCATTGTCTGCCATGATTCAACACTGTGACATCAGTTATCAAAGGCCAATTTATTACTGATACATTACTGCTGTGCAGCTACAGGTTTCTCTCAGATTTAACACGCTGTATCTCAGGATTCAACAGTGGAAGCCTGTTCGCTACGGAGGCTGATCCTCGGCTCCTGCAGCCGTGAGTTACGACTGTTACAGCCGGTGAGCTGGAGGGGGTAATGGAGCATGCCTCTCATTAAGCGTAATTGATGAACACAGCACAGGAAGCTGCGACCACGGGCTACTACCAACAGTCCCCGGAACATCCACCACTAGGCTTTGTGTAGGCACACACCTCAATAATAGGTATTTATTTCACATTAATTTACTCAGGTGAAGAGCATATGTTCTTTGATTTCGTTCGTGAAGCTGGAACACTTTTGTGTAGAAATCTATCTTTAGGCTATAAATATCACTGCTTCATAGGTGAATATAACTACGACTGTGATCAGAGATTACAGAGAATCATCCAATCTTTCAATATAGGAGAATCCTATCCTTATCCTAAAACATTCGTGATTATCTCCAAAATCATCTAAAATTATCAATTTTCTTAATCATCTACAACCACAAATATCAACACTTGTTTATGAAAGATATCATTCATCAACAAACATTCCCCATCAACACTGCCCAGCTCCTTGAGAACACATTCATACTGCCCTCCATCAATTACACATCACCATCAACAAGGAATTGTATACCAACCTATAGGGAATCAGTCCACCGAGGTGTCTGTATATCCAGTTATTCCCCAGTATCAATCATACCTCACAAAACACCATGAAGAAGGCATTGTACATCAACCTATGGCGAGCTAGTCCGAGGAGGTGGTGTGTATCCAGTTATTCTCCAGTACGAGCCGTCCAGCAGGACGACACAGTGTGTAGTGGGTGATACTCCAGTACGAGCCGTCCAGCAGGACGACACAGTGTGTAGTGGGTGATACTATCTACGTTGTGTTACGAGTGTTTATGCCCGTCTCACCCACAGTCTCTCCTACACACACACGGCCTTCATTTCCCCTGCTTCACTTCCCTCTTCTCCTCAATGAGCAGTTGGTCACTCCATTATACCACACATTTGGGATCATGCAGCTGCCTCATTATAACAACTGATTGAACATTTATCAGGGCCATATTAAATATCATGGATGAATGAATTCATTTTCAATCAATTTGGACATGATGTGAACACAATTTTTTGGCTATTTTGTACTTTTACGGAAGAATAAATCAATCTTGATCAATTTCTATAACAGTATGGCTAAAACACTGTTAACAAAGAACGCTAGGGATTCAGCTGTAATATTCCATTAGTAGTAGCTGGTCTTTCGGAATATGCCTGACTAAAT